AGTTTTTTATCGTGAAAAAGAAAAGACCTGGTTGTCAAAAATTAAAGCTCATGCCACTAACTCCCTGGCTACAATGACCCTTCGGTGCTGTGTAAGAGACCCCCTAGTGCAGCCCGTAAATTATCCTTCTCTGTTAATTTAAGCTCGAAAGTATCAGGTTTAGAAAGTGGGACATGACTCCTCAAGGTTCTACCAATGCTGAAAAGGAGGAGGGGGTGATCAATGCTGAGCAGGCCCTTGTTATTCCAAGAACAGACCTGCATAATTTAATTGCTATACCCGTGAATTCTGTAATTTCTTCTTCAGTTCAGGAAGAGAATAGCAAGAGAAAGAAAAGGGCTGGTGGTTACTCTGAGAAGACTTGGAGACGCATTGATAGAGATATTGATTTATTAATGGAGCAAAATGTTCTTAGTGGTAAAAGGAAGCAAACTTATCATTATGAAGAGATGGATGTGCACGAGACTTTGGTTGGGAAGAAATTTAAAGCTACCCTTGCGAAGACTCATCACTCCTCTAGTCCGGCGGAGGTTGACTCATCTCAACCCCGCCCTCAGCAATGAGTACCTTATGTTGGAACTACAGGAGACTAGCTAGCCCTCGTGCAGTTCGAGCACTATGTAAGTGGTGCAATTCCCGATGTCCTGATTTAGTGTTTTTTTTTTCTTAAACTAAAGTGAATAAAAAGATTGCTGAAAATAATAAAAATAGATTTGTTTTTTCTATGTTTTTGGTGTTGGTAGTATTGGTAGATCTGGTGGCTTATGCTTGTAGTGGAATGATAGTGTAGATTTTTCTTTATCCTCCTTTTTGCTTAATCATATTTGTCGAGATGTCAAAACGAGCCTTGGGGTTTCATGGCGCTTTGTTGGACTTTATGGTTGGCCGGAAGTTGGTAACAAAAACAAAACTTGGTCCTTAATTAGAAATCTTTGTGACAATTTTGACGGACCAATTTTCTTTGGAGGGGATTTTAATGAAATATTGTTGTATGATGAGAAGGTAGGTGGGGTTGATAATAAGAGGAGAGCCATGCCTGAGTTCCATGACACTCTTTGTGACTGTGATCTTATCGACCTGCACTTTGTTGGTCAATGGTTTACATGGGAAAGAGGGTTTGCAGACTCTCATCAGAGAAAGATTGGATCGTTTTGTGTCCAATAGCTCCCTCGACCTAGTTGTTGAGAATATGGCGACAGTTAAATCTGATCACTCACCTATTTTCCTCAAGGTTGGTGCTCATAGAAAGAAGAAAAAGAAGAGGTTTCTCTTTGAGACTTGTTGGCTCCTAAAGAATGAATGTATGGATATTGTCCAGTGTGCTTGGCGTGGTACAGGGGGGGAAAGTGGAAGAGCGGATCAAGAGTGTCGCAGGGGAACTCCAAGTCTGGAGTAGATGAAAATTCCAAGACCTAGAGAAACAGGTGGAAAAGCTAGAGAATGAGCTCAAAGAGACACAAGCTGAAGAGGTGTCAGATACTTCTCTTGCTAAGTGTGCGGACATCGAGAAGAAGCTTGACGAGTTACATGATAAAAAGGAAGCCTACTGGTATCTGCGATCTAGAGCCTCAGAAATTAAAGACGGGGAACGGAATACCAAATATTTCCACCATAAAGCATCGCAGAGAAGGAAGAAGAATGGAATTATGGGTCTATTTGACTCGGAGGGTACTTGGCGTGAGGAAGAGGAGGAATTGGAGAAGATATATCAGAGCTTCTACTAAAATTTATTTACAGCAGGTACTTCTACGATAAAAGCTTGTGATAAAGTTCTTTATTTGACAAAGCAACTTATCACCTTGACATCAATTCTGAGATCCTTCGGCCCTTCTCGAAAAATGAGATCTTTGATGCCCTGAATCAGATGCGCCCTTTCAAGGCCCCGGGACCTGACAATATGCATGCTATATTTTTTTCAGAAATTTTGGCATATTGTCGGAGATGATGTAGCTAGATTCGTTAGTAACGTTTTACAGGGTAATGAGTCTATTAGCCCTATTAATTTTACTAACATTGTCCTTATCCCGAAGGTCAAATCTCCTACTATGATGTCAGAATTTAGGCCTATAGCTCTATGCAATGTACTATAAAAAATAGCTTCGAAAGCCTTTGTTATGAGACTCAAATCTATTCTCCCAGTCATTATTTCGGAGAATCAGAGTGCTATCATTCCGGGATGGCTTATTATTGACAATGCCCTAATTGCTCCAGCATTGTTTCATACGATGAAATAGAGGAGTAAGAATATGAAGGATACTATTTCTATGAAGCATGATATGAGTAAGGCCTACGACAGAATACACTACTAAAATTCGGCTAAATTGCGACTGTTTTTCTACGACCGTCTGAAAAACGGTAGCAAAATATGAAATTTGCGACCGTTTTTTATGCGATCGCAATATTACGACTGCTTTGACAACGGCCGCAAATTTGCGACCGTTTTCAGCTTTTAAGACGGTCGCTAGGATGTTTTAACAATTAAAAATATTTCTAAATTAAAATAAATCGTTTGCGACCGTCAAAGACGGTCGTAAATGTCATAATCTGCGACCGTCCAAGAGACGGTCATAAATGTCCTAATCTGCGACCGTCAAAGACGGTCGTTAATGGCATAATCTGCGACCATCCAAGAGAAGGTCGTAAATGTCATAATCTGCGACCGTTAAAGACGGTCATAAATGTCATAATCTATGACCGTTTAAGAGACGGTCGTAAATGTCATAATTTGCGACCGTCAAAGAAGGTCGTAAATGTCATAATCTGCGACCGTCAAAGACGGTCGTAAAATTCATAATCTGCGACCGTCAAAGAGACGGTCGTAAATGTCATAATCTGCGACCGTCAAAGAGACGGTCGTAAATGTCATAATTTGCGACCGTCAAGACGGTCGTAAAAAGCTTTTTTTTAATAAAAAAATATTCGGGTATAAATACTCACCCATCTCACCTCAACCCTAATTTACTAACCCTGACAGCCGCCCCTCATTTTCACGCCCCTCTCCTCTCATTTTCTCTTCATTTTCTCCCTCCTCTCATTTTCACGCCTCTCTCCTCTTTTCTCTTCTTCTTTCCCTGACCTTTCCCCTTCTCTTTCCTCTTTTCCTTGATCTATTTCCTTCTCTTCTTCTGCTCCTCCCTCCGTCTAGGCAATAAAGAATCCTTATTCAACGAGAAACAAACGAATTATGGTGTTAATGGTCAAATTCGACCATAAAAATTCCAGATCTGGAGTTTTTTTGGTCGAATTCGACCATATGAAACATTAGAGGAAAAAATATTGACAAAGGTGGGTTTAATTTATGTTTGTTTTATATTTATGAGAGTTTTATTTCATGTTTGTTGGAATTTTTGTTGGAATTTGTTGGTTTAATTGTTGTGGGTTTTTTTTTTGGGTATAATTATTGGGTTTAATTTTTGGGCGATTTTTTTGTTTGATTTTTGTTAATATTACAAAGTATGTTTGATTTTCGTTTCGAATTTTGGGTTGATTATTGTTAATTTCATTTCGGGTTTGATTTTTTTGTTGATTTTGGTTTGATAATTGTTTTATTTTCGAATTTCCATGTGTTATTCTTTCAAATTTTGCTGTTTTTTTGTAATTTTTTATTTTTCGTTGAATTTTTGTTTGGATTTTTTTTTTCTGGGTTTGATTTTATTCGTGTTTGGGTTAATTTTTGTTGGTTTGTTTGGTTTTTGTTATTTTTGGGTTCCATTTTCGTTCATTTCAATTTGGTTAATTTTGTTTGATTTTTATGTTTGAATATTTCGTTCTTTTTGGGTTTATGTTTGGTTTTGTTTAATTTCAATTTGGTTTTTTTTTTGTTTGATTTTATCTATGTTTTGGGTTGATTTTTGCTGGTTGAATTCGACCATATTTGATTTTTATTGGGTTTTTTTTTGGGTTTCATTTTCGTGGTGGCTGGTTGGGATTGTCGAAGTGATTGGGTGGTGTTTTCGAGGTGTTTGGTTGGTGGGTAAAGGTGGTTGGCTGGGAAGAGGCAGTGGTGGAGTTGGCTTGGGTGGTGGTGGGGGGCGTGGTTGTGAAGAGCAGGGATGGGGGTGAATTTTCTTTTTCTTTTTCTTTTTTTTTTTAAATTTTAGCGACAGCTAAAAGCGGTCGCTAAATTGCGACCGCTGCTTTTACCGGTCGCAATTGTTTATATTTACGACCGTTTTCCTTGCGGTCGTTGAAATTAATAAAAACGGTCGCAATAAATCTGCGACCATCATAATAATTTTTTTTGCGACCAAGAAATAATGACCACCCCTTTACGATCGTTGACGGTCGCAATTATAAATTGCGACCGTTTTTGCTATTTTCTGCGACCGTTAGAGGCGGTCGCAAAAACCTTAATTTTTAGTAGTGATAGAAGGGAAATTTCTGGAAAAGCTGCTTTTAAAGATGGGATTTGCGGAAAGATGGGTGAAGATTGTTATGGATTGTGTGACCTCGGTAAAATATTCCTTTATTGTCAATGGTAATGTTTGTGGATCGGTGGTACCTACTAGAGGTCTTCGGCAGGGAGACCCTCTCTCTGTATTTATTTATTCTTGCAGATGCTTTCTTTGGTCTTTCACGGAAACCTTTACACGATGGCTCTATTCATGGGGCTAAGGCTTGCCGTGGAGGCCTAGTGATTTCTCACCTTCTCTTTGCAGACGACAATCATGTTTTTGCTAGAGCCAATCCAAGGGAGTGTTTAAAAATTGTCAAAATTCTTGACATATATGAACAAGCTTTCGGGCTAAAAATTAATTATGATAAATCGGAGGTCGCTTTCAGTAAAGGAGTCAATGCAGTCGTCCAAGAGGAGTTATTGGGAATTCGATCTTGTGATGCGCCGAGTATACAATCATGAGAGATATCTTAGAGTACCAACCATCATCGGTAAATCAAAGAAATTGATTTTTTCGGCTCTAAAGGATGGAATATGGACAAAATTATCGGGGTGGAAGGAATTTTTTTTGTCAAGAGCTGGGAAAGACATTCTTCTTAAATCGATGATTCAGGCTATGTCGACCTACACTATGGGAGTATATAAAATTCCTGCCGAGGTGACTGATCATATTCATGCTATGATGGCCAGATTTTGGTGGGGTCAAGATGAGGCGAAACGGAAGGTTCATTGGAAGAGTTGGAAAGATCTATGCTCTCCAAAATGCTTAGGGGATATGGGTTTTAGGGACTTTGAAAGTTTTTAACGATGCTCTTCTCGGTCGGCAATCTTGGAGACATATTAGTAATCCAGACTCCCTTTTAAACAAGGTGTTGAGTGCTAAATACTATAAAGGGAAGAGCTTCCTTAAAACTAATCTCGGAGTAGGGGGCAACTTCTCTTGGCGAAGTATATGGCCCTCCAAAGGCTTGCTCAAAGAAGGGATAATATGGAGAATAGGGAATGGATCTTCCGTTGACATATGGGATGACCCTTGGGTGGACAATGGTACTAGCAGATTCATCGCTTCCCCTGTGTCCGATGAAGTTTCCCATGTTAGTGACTTGATTGACCATAATGCAAGAGAGTGAGATGTTTCGAGAATTGAAAAGATCTTCAATAAGGAGGACGTTCATAGCATTCTTGCCCTACCCTTGAGCTCTACAGGGGGTTTGGATTTCATTTCTTGGGCTTTTTCTATATGGCAAGTACTCGGTGAAGACGGCCTGTATGCTCGGTAAGTCTTGCAATCTTAAGAATTTTCACAAACACTGGGTTGAGTTATGGAACTTGAATGTTACTCCGAAGGTTCGTCATTTTATTTGGAGAGTGTGTACCGTTACTCTTCCCACTCGTGCTTATCTCCATTATAGACACATGACTGATTGCGTTGAGTGTCCATGGTTTATGGATTTCCCTGAAACCATGAGCCATGTTCAGTTTCATTGCTCGACTGTTCGCAATCTATGGTTGGACTGTGACTGTGTGGAGATGTCCCTATGGCCATCAGGTTTGTCTTTCTTAGATTTCATCGTTTCTTGGTTAAAACTGGACGAGAGAAAGAGGTGTAGGGGTGCTATATTGATGTGGCATATATGGTGTAGAAGAAATGTAATGATTTTTAATAGCAAGGACACCTACCATCCCATTATCATTAAGCGGGTTTTTCGCTTAGCAGCTGATTGTATGGCTTATTCCAAGAGGATTTATGGGTCTACGAAGAAGCCTTCTTGTAGAAGCCCGAAATCTTGGAAAGCTCCTCCAGAAGGGATGGTCAAAATCAATTGTGACGCCTCCCTTGCTGAGGATGGATGGATTGGTCTTTGTGTCATCGCTAGAAACCATGAAGGAGTATTAATATTTGCTACTACTCGTCGCTGCAAAGCTTATTAATTGGCCCCCGATCATAGCTAAAGGGAAGGCAGTAGCGTGGGCTGTCAGACTTGCCACCAGCTTCAACATGGGAAATATCATACTCGAATTTGATAGCAGTCCTCATTAAGCAGCTTGAAAAAGGAATCACTTTCTTCTCTGATTTAGACTTTATTTTAGATGATATTTTATTTTCTTGCTCTTTTCTTTCTTCTGTTTCTTGGAGCCATGTCAAACTTAGTGGAAACATAGTTGTTCATAGTTTAGCCCGTTTGACACCCAATGGTACTGAACAATTATGGGAGAACCAATGCCCTTGTGAGTTTTCTCCATATGTCTTGATAATTAAATTATCAATAAAAAGCTCCTTGAACTTTTCCTCAGAAAAAAAAATTTATTCTCACTGTTGTGAAATAGGGTGAAAATATGAGAGATGGAGAGAGAATTAATCTGTGTAATCTACTTGTATTCCATATAATGAGATATATATACACACACACACACAGTACAAGTGATAGGGTTTGCTTAGAGAATAATAAACCCTAAAATCAAGAAAGTTCTGGAATGATACAAGGGTATAATGGGCATCCATAAATATATATTTCATAACACTCCCCCTTGGATGTTCATTATCTAAGAATGTGCCTTGTTAAAACCTTATTAGGAAAAACTCTCTAGGATAAAAACCTAATTAAGGAAAAAGAGTACAACATTCTTCGTAATACGCTTGGGATATTGCCTCGTTAAAAAGGCTTACCAAGAAAACCCAATTTGGGACAAAACCATGATCAAGGGAAAAAGACTGCAGCGCGTATTTGCTCCCCCTGATGAATGCATAACGTATTAGCGTGAAATCTTCTAGTGCAATAAATCTCATGCGATATGTTTAGGTAACTTCTTCCATGTAGCAGAACACCATTTCTTGATGATTGATCTTTTTAAATTGAACTTGAATCTTCAAATCTTAAAATAGACTTATTGAGTCGTCTTCATTTCTTCATACTTGTGGAAATAATACAAGTATTTACCACTATTTCATTCGATAGTTTTGTTTTGAATTATCATAAAAATTAGATGTATGCCTTCTTCTAGAGGTCATATATACTACAAAATGATGATTTCATGGAAACACTTGATATCATATTGATAAGTGTCATTTATGTAGCTATTTTTAAGAGTTTTCTAGTTAGTTTTTCATAGTTTTTATATCTTTTTACTTAGTTTTAATAACGTTTTACTACATTTGTCATGATTGCGTGTGAAATGTCGTTATTGCTCAATTTTGGCTTTTCTTGCATATTTTGGTTGCTTATGGCATTAGATTATACTTTATTGGTTTATTCTTATGTTTAGGAACACTTGCATAAGTTCATTGCTCAAGATTGAAGAAATATAAAACATAAAAGAACAAGTAATGAAGAAATGTGCACTTGATTTGCAATGATTGAACTTCAAACGCCTATATCTTTTGATCTACAAAACATTTTGGGGCGATTTTAATTGGAGATGAAAGCTTATCTCGAGAGCTTTCCAACGACAGGTCATATGCCCAATTCTGTTGTAAAACGTGGGAGATATGCTCATTTGAAGCTGAGCGTTTATCCCAGTCCGATAGGAGCGGGCGCGTACCCTATGAGGAGCGTCCGCTCCAAACTTTCTGGAACGATCCTGCCATATTTTGCTGCAGCTAGGAGCGCCCGTGCACGAAATTGGAGCGCCCGCTCCTCTGCGCGCTGCTCGACTTTTTGCGGAAGGCAATATAGTAAGGGGTATAAATAGATTTTTTGCTCATTTTAGATGGAAAAATTCATTTCTTCAGTAGTTTTAAGATTAGTTTTATGTTTTTAGAGAAAGAAACTCTCAAATTTAAGAGAGAGAAAGTGAGAAACACAATGGTTTTCATGGATTTTGGATAATCAAAGGAGGAATTTTATGATTTGAAGATCTCCATCTTATATCAATGAGCATTCTTACTCTCTTTTCTCTTTATGCTTTCTTTAATTGCTTTGTTAATCATGTTTGAGTAGGTTTCCTTCTACTAGGTGTTGAGTTAAGCTTTGTAATGTTTAATTGAGTTATTTGAGATAAATTTGATGATAATTGTGTGATTAAATTGATTGAATTGATGATGGCATGTTGTTTGTTTTAGATTGGATTAATCTCCCATGATAGCAAACTTAATTGCATATTAGTTCTAGTTTAACAAGGGATTGTGAATTAGAATTGTTATATTTGATTGCATATTGGGTAAATTTCTTCTATGCACCTAGTCAATGAGGGATCTAGGCTAGGAATTTGAGAGATTGCTCTTGAGTGTAATTAATTCCCATTTTAATTCTTTCTTTGCATGATTGATTTTCAAATTGATTCTCATTAACTTGTTAATTGTTCAAAGTGGATCTTTACCCCTAGTAGACTTTATAATATTTGTTCTTTATATGTGTGTTAGTGTAGTTGTAGTGTCCACTATCCATAAATCGACTTCGGTGTAGCTTAAGCATTAGATCGAGAACAATCTAACATTACCGTTCCTTGTGGTTTGACTCCGAACTTACCACTAGACTTGTTTAGGGGTTAGTTTAGGATTATAATAAATTTTGTTTGGCCGTGAGGAGGTTAGTCAACGACCTAATTTCCCCGTGCTCAAAATGATATTTCATTTTCCAATATCATATGAATTAAGAAATTAAACTAATTACATATTTTGCTCATGGCTCTTCTAGACCATAAGAATATTATTCTCACTCGATGGTATCTCAACTTTATTCTTTAATTAGACATTTCATGTTTTATATGAGAGTTCGCCAATGAATACATAGAGTTGTTGAATCTCACATACTCTAACTTCAGGTTGAGATATCGATGATGTAGTCATATTGACTTTTCATGAGTTTGATAATAATTCCAATATTCAAGATATAAAATATGTAGTGCTGGGTATTTAAAGACGTTGTATATAAGTTCTTCATGAACTCTTCTTACATGAATCATAACAAGCTATTATTAAAACGACGTCCTAAATAATTTCATCACTAATGTAAGCCCATTGGAATATAAATATTTCTTTGTAAGTTCCCATCAATGTTGTATATACGATTTACTATACATTGGACGGACATTCACACATACCACAATTATAATATAGAAACTAGCTAGTGCATGAAATATGAGATATAGGAATCACGATAAGATATTGAACAAAATATACTATGAGTAATGCATGTAACGACTTCCTAAACGTGCAATAAGCAATCCATTAACCTATGCCTCACGCATGCACATGGGTATAAGACTCAAATTAATGCAAGACAATGTACAGTGTGGATTTAATAATCCATATTTCATTGGATTTTTGGTCCATGATAAATTTTTGATGATTATCATTATGTCGACATCATTATGGAAATACGTTTTAGATCCCTTATTCAATAGTCCATTCTATCATGCATATGCATATTATTCATCGGTTCCATTATGTATCGGTATCATAAAATTACTTTAAATTACATTTCGCATGCTATTTTTAATGATATCTGAATACATTTCTCATTATTGGTACCATCATAACATTTCTTCCATAATAGGCCATCTATTATGATAATTCAGATATCTATACCACCTATCAAGGGTATTTCTCACACTTGGCATTTATATACCATTATTATACTTTAAAAGTATCAACTGCTCTATCTTTCCATATATCGCATATTTATATTTGAACCAATCATACCAACTACACTTCAAGTGCAGTGATTTAAAGAAAAATTGGCAAGATCTATCTTAATGTATGCACATAATATCATTATCACTATAATCAAAATATATCTCTCTATTCCTCTAGATGTGTCATAACGATATACAAATCAAATCATAGATGTGCAACATATGTGTAAGGAATATTTCAAGCATTACTCCAAACTTGAACCCCACTCTGATCTTACACTTAAGCATGGTGGCGTCCAAAGGGAAGGAAGTTAGAGCAAAAGAGTCGTCAACAAGTTTTAGGAACTTGTAAACCGTTCACAGGGTGAAGGTTACACCCCTTAACGATCCAAGACATCGTTAACTCCAATAGGTCTGGAACCAAGACTGGAAGTTCCGGGATGAAGGTACAAATCCAATCTAAACGAGAAAGAACCTGCCCTAATAATAGGCCTCTACTTTATTCTTCTTGTATTCATGTGCGCTTTTTTACTAACATGCAATCATTAAGTTTACCCTAAACCTGTTTATCTATGTTGGTTGAATATTAATGCACAATAAATCTGTTATTGGCGATCACTTGAATTATAAACATATTATCCTTAACAAGATTATTAATTATCTTATTAAGCATGATTACAAATACAAATTCCCTTTAAACATGCATAAAAGGTGTGATCAAGCAATAAAAATAATAATATCAAGCAACATAATAATAATCATCATCATAATAATAATCAAAATAGTCATGTTAAAGCATAATATTAATAGCAAGATCCTAGGCATGATATTGACAAGATTAATAACAAACTCTAGCATGTCACTAACTATTAAAGATCAAAACTTTAGCCCTAACATGATACTAACATGATATTAGGAAAGAAAATAGGAAGCATTCTTCTAATCATACTTGATATTAGAAACATAAACTAACCCTAAACATGATACTAGGAAGTAATAAAACATCCTAACATGATACTAGGAATCAAAATAATAATCTAAACATCATTTCTATATCAAAATATCAATAAAACAATTAAAGTACTTACTTGGATGCCTCGTATCTCTTTCTAATAACAAAATACACACGTTAGTAATTTCAAGGAAAATATAAAATCAAACAATTAAATTAAATAATTGAAATAGAGATTTGGGACCAAACCCTCAAAAATATCAAACCTTTCACTTTTAGGGCGAAGGCAACTTCGAACTTGGCTAGGTGTGTCTAGTGCTAATGTATGAGGAATTGTGTTTGTAAAAGGCTAGGCTAGAAAGAGGGAGAGAGAGAATAAGCTTTAGCTTAGAGAGAGAAAGAATTAGAGAATTCTGGTTACTGAAAATCGAAGGTCCAGGGACCCTATTTATCAGAAAATAGTCCGGAATCGATAGAAAAGAATCAGTGTTCGAAAAGGAATAAAATACCTCCCTGTCACCAGGGCTCGTCGCCAGGTGACGAACCTTTCGTTTGGCGATGCATAAGGTTTTCACGCGTTTTAAACACAGAATCCACTTCTTGATAAAATCAATTCATAAAATCGTACGAAGGGGTAAAATCGTATTTTCATATAAAACACTTCTTTTATTCCAAATAAAACTCATAAAACATATTTATCAATCCTAATCCCATTAGGATTTAAAAGAACCCTCTAGAAGATTCTAGAAGACTATAATCATTCCTAATAGCTTTAGGATGATAATTAATAATAGGCCCTCCTCTAGATCATTGGGCCGCATATAAGAACCAAATCGGGCCAAATTCAGTATTTTGGCCATAACTTCCTCATTATTCTTAAAAATTGGGCTCATAATATATCGTTGGAAAGCTCTTTTCGAGTTCCATACAACTACACCATTATTGGACCCTTGTCATGAACCAAACTAAACTGGAATGACTATTTTCATAAAATAGAGTAGGTTTTCAAAAACAGAAGAAAGATTTTTAATAAAAGCTAACCGCAATATTAGACTTTTCACACTTTCACTTCATTCGATTATGATTCGACGCGAAAGGTATTCATCACCGGGTTTGGTTTTGGGGAGACACATTTGGGTGTCTACAATATGTGGATACAAAAGTTGGCATGTAACTTTATAAAGTATCATTAGAGGGATCAACTAATTATAGTTTTATAATTTTTCCAACTTACTTCAATTCTTATCTCAAATATTGGGGCAATTTTTCACCAACTTAGAATATAATTTCATGCGCATCAAATTTATCTCGTAGGATAATCATATATGTTCAACAAAGTTCTATCTCTTCTAGAGAATAATGAAATTTTGTTCTCTTCTAGAGATTAATATTAATAGGGGTAATAAATTGTGCAGTTGCTAATTTCTTATTATATTCCTTATGTGCTGACATACAATAGCCCCAATCAAGAGAATTGTTATATAAATATAAAATTTCTTGTAATTTCACTAGGTGGTGATCTTCGGAATCACTAGAATCATTGATAGTATGATACTAGTTACTTAAAAATTTCCACATATAACTTGTACGCGGTGAGCTTCGTTCTGGTCACCTAATATTTGTCAACATATAAAATATTCTAATGAACTTCTGGTCATCAATTATTCAGAATAACCAATGTATTATCTCTTGAACTTCTCTTTTAACACAAATTATTAAAAATCACAATCCAAATATGTCTTGCCATTTGATTTATTTCATATATATAACATGAGAAATCATCAACACATTATTTCTTCGTTTTCATAACGAAAATTTATTAAACCCCGGATGGCCTAATTATTAATATCACATCCAATCACTTTTTCTTTAGTATTTAAATTATGGTCAGTATCACTACTAGAAATAGGCTAAATTGCGACGGAATACTTACGACGGACATGTTTTTCCGTCGTTAAGGTGGATATTTTCGACGGAAAACATTTCGTCGCAATTTAGCGACGGAAAATTTTAATTACGATGCATTTTTCCTCGTAAATTTTACGACAGAAATAAATTCCGTCGTAATAATAAACTTCCGACGGAATATTTCGTCGTAAAGTGATTTGCAACGGAATATTCCGTTGGAAGTTTATTATTACGATGGAATTTATTTCCGTCGTAAAATTTATTGTTATTTTTTAAAATTAAAATTGTTTCCTTGACCTAAAAAAAAGGGGGATCGAAACGCAGAGAAAGAAAGAGAAGCAGCGGGAGGAGAGAGAGAAAGAGAAGGAGAGAGAAGAAAGTCGCGGCGGCATAGAAAATTACGCCAGCGATGCCTGCAGTCGACGCACACCAGCCGCCGGAGAATGAAAGAGAGAAAGAAGGGTGAAAGAAAGAGAGAGGAGAAAGAGAACGAGAAAGAGAAAGCTAAGGAGGAAGGGAGAGCTGTCGAGGAAGAAACAACCGCCCTGGTGGTTTCCGGCGACACCGCCGCGTCTAGGTATGTGTGTGCAATTGGTCAATTTTTTTTAAATTTTGCAAATAAACCACCACCGGCTAACATTTAACCACCACAACGCAGCCTATGCGCCGCACCTCTGTCCCCTAGCCGTGACTGAACCACCTGGCCATGGTTGTTTCTGGCGACGCCACACCTCCATCCCCTGAAAATTCAGTAAGTTGCCTTTGCTTTCCCCCTTTTTTTTTCCAATTTAATTTTGTTTACTTATAAACCCTTAATTATTTTTTTTTAATTTTGTTGTAGGATTTTGATAACTTGCTATTTTATGCGGTTTTAGGGCGTATTTGAACCTATTTTACCTGAACAAATTTGTGTTTTGGTTCACTTTTACCCTATTATTATGCAATTTTTGTGTATCCTATGCTTCACGGGTTGTTAGTGTTTTTGTTGAGATTTTAGGTCCAAAGACGACCAAATGAAGCCCACGGTTACCAAACCGAGGTTAGAAGCAAGGAAATGATGGAAAGAATCCAAGTACAAGAGCATCGTAGAAGAAAACACGAAGAAAAGGGCCCAGAAGACCCTGCACGGCCGTGCAAGATGTTGCACGTCCGTGCAGGAGTGCAGACTTGAAGCCATCTTTCTGCCAAGGCCTGCACGGACGTGCCAAATATTGCACGTCCGTGCAGATGATGCAGCACGGACGTGCCAAAGGTGCACGCCCGTGCTGCAGCAGGTCGTCTTAAACTGAGTTTCTGCCTTGGTCTGCACGGACGTGCCAACTTCAGCACGTCCGTGCAGACCTACAGTTTACCCGTTTCTTGTTTTCACCGTCCTCTTATTTTAGGGGGTAATATAAATAGCCCCTTTGGACCATTTTAGAGGGGTTCCCAATTTTTCCAGATTTTCATACTCCTCTTAGTTTGAAACACAAAAATCCTCAAATTAGCATAGATTTTAGTTCTTGTTTTGAAGGTTTTTCAATCCAATCATTGTAGAAGACAAGTTCCACCATTGTTAGTCAATTATTGAAGCTTCTAGTAATTTTTTCTTACTCTTTCTTTCTCTCTTCTATCTTTAATTCTTGCTTTTTATTAATTGTTTGGTTGTTCTTTGCATGTTTAATTGTTAAATTCTACTTAATTCTTAGTTTTAATTTGTTCATGAATTCCTTGAAATCTTTAATTGCTTTAACCTCCATGGATTGTGAGTAGTCTAATTTCTAGGGTTTGGGTGAACCCTCAATGTAATCACCAACACTTGTTGCATGAACTAATTTGTTAATTGTGGGGTGTTAATTAGTTGAGTTTAAGAGGTTTCATTGTTAATTCTTGTAATTGGCCATTGCTTGAATTATTTATCTAGCTTCCTCAACGAAGGATCGAGAGATGAACTTGAGGAAGCTCCCTTATGCTTGATTGACTTGATTTGCCATGAGAATAGGAATTTCTAGTCAAGGGAATTTGCATGTTATCGTGAGGATGTTTTAACACTTGTTTCTTGCCCATAATCACGAGAGTAGGTTATGGTTTTGATGTCAAGTAATCCCTCTAGCTTGAGAGAGTAGTTGGGTGCATTTGATAACTTCCCCTAATTTATCCCCTAAATCACCATTTCTATGCATGCTACTTGTGGTCCGTGATGAAGTTTAGTGGTGTAACCCATGCCCTAGGCCTTCTTAATATTGTTAATCACCTCTTAGAATTAGTTGATTTGAATTAGAATAGTGTGACGTAATACCAACTTAAAACCCCCGACTTAATCTAGCTTGTTTAAACAATAACATTTGGTGGTTGATTCAACGCCTCTCATGGGTTCGACCCTTTCTTGCCCTTGCTACTAGTTGAGTAGGATCGAGTTAGGTCTTATTTCTTGATAGGTTGACGACGTCCTATCAAGTTTTGGCGCCGTTGCCGGGGAGGCAAAGTCACATTGAATAAGTTATTGTTGAATGAGTCTAGATTTGTGTATATGTATATAATCTTCTTATTTTGTTTTTGTTTAAGCGTGTTTACTTGTGATAGTCATTGCTAACGTTTTCCTTAGCTTTGTTTGACTGTGCATGACACGGAGGAGTAAGCAATCACCGCTTATCCCCGTAGATCCGGAGTTAAATAGAACTTTGAGGAACGTAAGAAGGCTCCTACAAGGCACGCCGTAATTTTCTCTAGCTTATACGGATTCCGAGTCGGAGGATAATCTTGACAACGAGCAAGAGATGGCCAACCCACCGCCTCCTCCACTTCTACAAGACTATGACCACCCCGATGCATTCCAACTTCGGAGTGGCATACTTCTTCCCACCACCAATGCAAACAACTATGAGTTCTCTCCTCAACTCATAAGGATGATCCAAAGTGAACAGTTCGGGGGGAGTGCAAATGAGTGCCCTCTATCTCATTTAGACAACTTCCTTGAGTTGTGCACTACCATCTAGCAAAACAACCTCACGGAGGAATTCATTTGGATGCATATGTTTCGGTTCTCTCTTAGGGACAAGGCTAAGTGTTGGTTGAGGTCCGTGAAAGAAGGATCCTTAACAACATGGGAAGAGGTTACCAAAGCATTTCTTGGGAAGTTTTGTCCGCCCGAAAAGACCGCGGAATTGAGAAGGAAGATTACAAGCTTCACTCAAGAGGATGATGAAACCTTAGGTGAAGCATGGGAAAGATTCAAGGATCTAAAGAGGAAGTGTCCACACCATGGGTTGCCTTTATGGATGATTATTCAAAGCTTCTACGACGGTCTCACTCCTACCTCAACGGCCAATCTTGACAACGGAGCCGGTGGTAGTCTTAAAAAGCTACCGGTGCAAGAAGCCGAGAATATGATTGAAGAAGTTGCAAGGCATTACGCCTATAGATATGATAGAAGAGAAAGTCAACCGAAGAAGAAAGGTATGCATGAGTTGAGTGCAATAGATCTCATTGCCTCAAAGTTTGATATGCTAGCTCACAAGCTAAACCAAGCAACCTCCTCAAGCGGTACCTCCTCTTCACAACCACAACCACAAGTCATGTCTTGTGAGACTTGTGGGGGTAATGATCACATGGCTTCATATTGCAATGCTACTAATGAGCAAGTTGCGGCCATGAACCAAAGAAATGAGCAACCTTTCAATCAAGGTTGGAGGCAACAAAACCAAGGGTGGAGACAACCCAATCAAAACCAACAATCCAACTACAACAACCCTCCTCAAAACATCTACAACCAAAATCAACAAAATCACCAAGCCCCATACCGCCATCCAAACCAACAAAGACAACAATTCAACCAACAACCTCCTCCACCCCAAAAGACTTCCCTTGAGGCCGCTCTTGAGTCTTTCATAAATCAACAAGGGAAGAGCAATGCAGAAATGAGCTCCAACATCCAACAACTTCAAGCGCACAACAAAATAATTGAGAATCAACTAGCTCAAATTGCACAACAAGTTGGGAGTTCTACCTCCAATGCTAGTGGTCAATTTCCAAGCTCAACGGTTGTGAACCCAAAGGAGCATGTCAAGGCTATCACATTGAGGTCCGGGAGAGGGTATGAAGGTCCGGTAATGAGTGAAGATGTGCCACAAAAGAGAGATGAGGGTGTGGAGGTGAGAAGTGAGAATGATGTTGAAAATGAGGTGGTAGAAGTTGAGAGAAAAGAAAAAGAAAAGAGTGTTGAGGGAGACACAAAGAAAGGAGAGGGAGTTGAAGTTGAAGTGGAGAAACCCCCAATGAGAGTCTACAAGCCACCTATTCCTTTCCCTCATAGGTTGGTAGAGAAAAAATTGAATGAGAAGTTTTCAAAGTTCCTTGAGGTCATGAGAGGGCTCCAAGTGAACATTCCCTTTCTTCATGCTATGTCACAAATGCCTACATATGCGAAATTTTTAAAAGATCTCTTGTCCAACAAAAGTAGGCTTGAAGAGAGTGCAACCATCTCCCTTCCAATGGAGGTGAGCGCAATCATTCAAAACAAGCTTCCCCGAAAGCTTGGTGACCCGGGTAGCTATGCAATTCCGGTGAAGATTGGAGATATGGAAGCCATGGATGCTCTTTGTGATCTTGGGGCAAGTGTAAGCTTGATGCCCTTCTCAATTGCGAAAAATTTAAAAGTTGGTGAGATGAAGCCAACAAGAATCTCAATACAATTAGCCGATCGTTCGGTTAGGTTACCAATGGGAATACTTGAAGATGTACCGGTACAAGTGGGAAGAGTTTTTGTACCTTGTGACTTTGTGGTGATGGAAATGGAGGAGGACAACAAGGTTCCTCTCATTTTGGGAAGGCCGTTCTTGAACACGGCGGGAGTGGTAATTGATATGAAACAAGGCAAGCTAACATTGAATGTGGGAGATGAGAAAATTTCTTTCTCATTCTCGCAAGCCATGGGGAAGCCTATGTATGAGGATATCAATAGAATCGATACTCTTGACCGAGAAGTGGAGGAATTGAAGATGATGAACAATAGCAAAGATACTCTACAAGCGATCCTCACGGAAAGTTTGTACAATGATGATGATGAAGCTAAGGGGTACAAGTTGTTGCTAGACCAACCCCTACATGGCAAGGCAAGGGAGTTTGAAGCACTTAAGGTGGAGGTAAAAGAGGAGAGGTCTACGCCTCCTCCTAAGGTTGAACTTAAACCCCTTCCCCCTTCACTTAAATACGTTTTTCTTGATGATAATGAGACTTATCCCGTTATTGTCAATACCAACCTTGATGACACTTCCCTTGAGAAACTCCTAGTTGTGTTGAGGGAGTATAGGAGTGTCATTGGGTATGCCATTGATGACATTAAGGGGATAAGTCCCACGATATGCATGCACAAGATTTTGCTTGATAATGATCATGAATCCTCAATTGAGCACCAAAGAAGGCTCAACCCCAACATGAAAGAAGTTGTTAAAAAAGAGGTTTTGAAACTTCTTGAAGCGGGCATAATCTACCCTATCTCCGATAGCAAGTGGGTTAGCCCGGTTCAAGTTGTTCCAAAAAAAGGGGGCATGACCATTATCAAGAACGATAAGGGTGAGACCATTTCTACAAGGTCGGTCACCGGGTGGAGAATGTGCATAGACTATCGAAAATTGAACAAATCCACTCGGAAGGACCACTTCCCTCTCCCCTTTATCGATCAAATCTTGGAAAGGTTGGCATCACATAGTCACTATTGCTTCTTGGATGGGTATTCGGGATTCCTCCAAATCCCTATCCTACCCGAGGATCAAGAGAAGACTACATTCACATGCCCTTTTGGCACCTTTGCTTATCGAAGGATGCCATTTGGATTATGTAATGCACCTTCTACATTTCAAAGGTGTATGATGTCTATCTTTTCCGACATGCTTGAATCATCAATCGAGGTATTTATGGATGACTTTTCTGTTTGCGGTTCATCTTTTGACACTTGCCTAAGTAATTTGATTAAAGTGTTAAAAAGATGTCAAGAGGTGAACCTTGTGCTTAATTGGGAAAAATGTCATTTCATGGTTGAAGAGGGTATTGTGTTGGGACATGTTGTTTCTAGTAGGGGCATTGAGGTTGATCGTGCCAAAATTGAGGTTATTGAGCGCCTCCCTCCCCCCACTAATGTGAAGGGTATAAGGAGTTTTCTTGGACACGCGGGTTTTTACCGCCGGTTCATTAAAGATTTTTCCAAAATCGCTAAGCCGCTCACTCAATTGTTGGTAAAGGATGCCCCTTTTGTGTTTTCTAATGATTGTTTGCTAGCCTTTGATAGGTTGAAGGAAGCTTTGATCACGGCTCCCATCATTCAACCACCGAATTGGGAGCTCCCTTTTGAACTCATGTGTGATGCTTCGGACTATGCCGTTGGATCTGTGCTTGGGCAAAGGAAGGATAAAAAGCTCCATGCCATCTATTACACTAGCAAAACTCTTGATGAAGCACAAAGAAACTACACAACGACTGAAAAAGAGCTCCTAGCCATCGTCCATGCTATCGAAAAGTTTAGGTCTTACTTGGTGGGCTCCAAAGTTATAGTCTTCACCGACCATGCGGCTTTGAAGTACTTGCTGTCCAAGAAGGACACTAAACCAAGGTTGATTAGGTGGGTCTTGCTCTTACAAGACTACGATATAGAAATTCGGGACAAGAAGGGTGCCGAGAATGTAGTAGCCGATCATCTCTCACGGCTACCGATCGTAGAAGGTGAAATTGAAGCTTTGCCAATTGATGATTCATTCCCGGATGATCAATTATTCGCAATCATTCAAGCCCCGGCCCCATGGTTTGCGGATATTGTAAATTACTTGGCTTGCTCCATCCTTCCTCCCGACCTCACCTATCAACAAAAGCGGAAGTTCCTCCATGATGTCCGCCAATACTTTTGGGATGACCCCTTGCTCTTCAAACAAGGTGTTGATGGTCTTTTTAGAAGGTGTGTCCCCGACGATGAAATTCATGAAGTTATCACAATGTGTCACTCCTCACCTTGTGGAGGACATATGAGTGCTAACAAGACATTGACGAGAATATTGAAATGCGGTTTCTATTGGCCCTCTATGTTCAAGGACGTATGGGGAGTTGTTAAAGCTTGTGACCGGTGTCAAAGGACCGGTAATTTGTCAAGAAAGAACGAAATGCCTTTGAATAACATTTTAGAGCTGGAAATTTTCGATGTGTGGGGAATAGATTTTATGGGACCTTTCCCATCCTCTTTTGGGAACAAATACATTTTGGTGGCCGTCGACTATGTATCAAAGTGGGTTGAAGCGGTTGCATCTCCTACAAATGATGCTAAGGTAGTAGTCAAGTTGTTCAAGAAAGTCATTTTCCCTAGGTTTGGTGTGCCACGTGCCGTAATAAGTGATGGAGGATCGCACTTTGCAAAGCGATCTTTCAAGGCTCTCCTTGAAAAATACGGAGTGAGGCACAAGGTGTCATTGGCTTACCACCCTCAAACAAGTGGTCAAGCTGAAATTTCAAATAGGGAGATTAAGTTGATACTAGAGAAGACGGTGAATAGGTCAAGGAAGGATTGGTCATCAAGGTTGGATGATGCTCTATGGGCCTACCGCACCGCCTTCAAGACTCCTATTGGCACCACCCCTTACAAGCTCGTTTATGGGAAGTCATGCCATCTACCGGTGGAACTGGAACATCGTGCGCACTGGGCTATCAAAACCTTGAATTTTGATATCCAATCCGCCGGAGAAAAGAGGATGCTTGACCTCCATGCCTTGGAAGAGTTGAGGTTAGATGCATATGAGAGTGCAAAGATCTACAAGGAGAAGACCAAAGCATGGCACGACAAGCACATCAACAAGAGAGAGTTCAAGGAGGGTGACAAGGTCTTGCTATTTAACTCCCGGTTGAAGTTGTTTCCGGGAAAGCTAAAATCAAGATGGAGTGGCCCTTTCACCATTACAAAGATATTCCCATATGGCGCCATTGAGATTTCCAACGACAAAGGTGAACCATTCAAAGTTAATGGCCAAAGGTTGAAAGCATACTTCGATGGTTTCGTGCAAGAAGAAACAAAGGTAGTTCATTTAGATGAATTTGATATCCCTCGTGATTGAAAACGTAATATGGTCAAGCTAGTGACAATAAAGAAGCGCTTCCGGGAGGCAACCCGAGTATTTTAGTAATTTTACTCAAAAAAAAAAAGAAAAAAAAAAGGAGAGTAAACGTACCAAAAGCAGCAAGTATTCTGCCAAGTTAAGCACGTCCGTGCCAAAATCAGCACGTCCGTGCCAAAAGCAGCACGTCCGTGCCGATAATGGCACGTCCGTGCTTTTACAGGCAGAAAGTTGAGAAGTATTCTGCCAAGTTAAGCACGTCCGTGCCAAAAGCAACACGTCCGTGCCGATAATGGCACGTCCGTGCTTTTACAGGCAGAAAGTTAAGCACGTTCTGACTTGAGCTGCACGTCCGTGCCAATGCTGCACGTCCGTGCATACCAAGTATTTAAGGCCGAAACTGCTCGAAAAAAAAGAAAAAATCCACAATTTTTTGTTCTTCCTCTCAAACCCACGGTTCTCCTCCTTCTCTCTAACCCCTCTTACTCCTCCTCTCAACCCTCAAACACTCAAATTCTCACCCAAAATTCAACATTTCCCACCATAATCAACACTCCTTTTCAACAAAAACGCAAAATACTACTCCTTTCTCCAATCTTCAACCCAAAAATCACCCATTAACCGAAACCCTAAGAAGAAAAAAATCAATTTGGGGGTTTTCTTTTGGATTGAAATTTTAACAATTGGTTGAAGGAAAAGGTTCAAGCAAGGGAAAGGAAGGCTAGGAAGGTTCATTGGCGGGTTTTACACCCACGTTAAGCTCGGTATAATCGTTCCTTCCACTTACTATTTCCATACTTGAAACTTGTTGTTTTGTGCTTATTTTTGCTTGCAATCTTGGTTGAATTGATAGTTGTTGAGTATTTGTGCTTTTATGTAAAGCATTATGGGTTTAATTCAATATTGTGAGGATTAATTGTTTAGGTTTTGTGAGTTTTTGTGATTGTGTGGATTATTCTTTGTGGTGTCCTTTGGTGTGGCTAAGTCTTGGGTTTTTGACCTTAAAATTGCTTGGTGAATTGGTTTAGTGTCTTGATCTCTTTGTGTGGCGGGTTTAGTCATTCTAAATAAAACAAAATAAAAACAACCATGCCAAGAAGAAACCAATCCCGAAACACCTCTTCCCTTAGATTTAGGAACCCATCGCCTCCTCCTCCCGTTGATCCACCGCAAGTGGACACAATGGGAATAGTTTTCGCTGACCAGGCCTTTTCGGCCAATTTCCTTAAAATCAGTAGGAGGCGGGTCAAGCCCACCAAATTCTATGATAGTGAGGTGGCGGACGCCTTAGGGGTAGGAGCTGATATCACAATGTTATTCGAGGGAGCCGACCTAGGTTCTTGGCTAGAGTTACATGCCTTAACCTATAGGAGACTGACCCTAGAATTCCTCTCCTCCCTTTGTGTGCACCGTGACACCACAAGATCCCCCCGTTACATGACCTTCCAGCTCATGAATGCCCAACATAGAATGTCCGTAGCGAGAGTTAACCAAGCTTTCGGGTGGCCTGTTTCTGGAACTATGGGGCCTAAGGATAGGCAACCCCGTAACTATATGGCGGGTGAATTTTGGAGAAGAATCACAGGGCTGTTTGGGTATAACCCTAGAACTGATAAGGCCACAGCCATTATTCACCCTGCCTTTAGGATCGCCCAGCGTACCATAGCGAACACAGTTTTTGCTAGGGGAGACAGTTCAGGGGTCGTGTCTACTCGAGAGCTTTACTTTCTATGGCATCTGAGTGAGGGTAGTACGAGTTTAAATGTGGGGTCTTGGTTTATGAACCACCTAGAAGATGTTGCCACAGGATCAGGCAACATCACCATAGGTGGTATGATTACTATAATTGCTGCTGCTCTTAACCTTGATTTTGCAGAAGAGCAGGTTGTTCCAGGTCCAACACAGTTGGATATGCAGTCGCTGAGAGCCATGAAATGGCTCACGGATGTAGAGGGGAACCACCCCTATTTGTGGTTGGTGAGTAGGCGCCCCTATGCCTACTTACCCGACCCCGAGGCCACCGCCATCTACAACCAGGCGAATTGGATCTTTCAGAGGGACTTCCCTTGGGCTCCCGGTCAAGAGGGAGAGGAACAAGGGCAAGAGCAGCAAGAGCAACAACAACAACAATTTCAGCAACAACCAGAATTTCACCAGCAGTACGAGTTCCAACAAGGGTACCAAGAGGGGTACCAAGGTCAGGGCATGGGTGAAGGCAACCCATTCCTCACCTTCGAGCAGCAGATGGCTAATATGAATGCGAACTTCGCCCGCATGACTTCCGAGTTTGAGACCATGAGGAAGTCAAATGAAGACTTGTGGACTTCTTTTGACGGAATGACGTCAAGCTTTGAAGGTCTTCGATCGGAATTGGGCGACTTCCGCAATGTATATCACCATCTCTACCCCGGGGGTTCGAGCTCCCAAGGGGGCCCGAACCAATGAGTTAGTATCTCCTTCCCCTTCTCTTTGTGCTTATATTGTTTCAACATTGGGGACAATGTTTATGATAGCTTGGGGGGGAGTATTTTCTCATTTACCATTGGTTCATGCTGTGTTCTCGTACGTATATGTTGATTTGCATGCCCCTATTCCCATTTCCCTAACATCCAAACCCTTTGAATCCAAATTGCTTCCTTTGAAATCCAAATCCCTTGCATTGTGAATACTTCTCCTATCCCTTATTTAGATGTATAGTTATTTTATGCCTAAAAAAAAAAAAAAAAAAAAGAGAAAAAAAAAGAGAGAAAAAAATGAAAAAAAATGATGAAAAAGTGCCCAAGGATGAAACTCATATGACGATTATATGTTTTGCTTGCTTGACTCTTGAGTGATGAGTAAAAGTTTTTTTTTAGAAGAGTGTGTGCACGAGTTGGGGGTCATTTAGAGGTCTATTAATCTTGATTGCATTGGAGTATATGAAATGAAAGCCAATGAATGCTCAATTGCACGCCTAGTATAAGATATTGTCTAATTTGCTCAAGTAGGATATGTTTGAATAAATTTGTGGTCCCTTGTGCCCTTGATGTGTCCCCTTTCCTCCCCGAAATGAAACTCTATTAGGGAATTGGTTCTACTTGTATCATGTGTAATAAGTGGCGTAATAAGCCACACGTTCTCAATAAAGAAAGAGCCGCTCACAGTTAAAAGAGGCGAGGGCATTGAAAATTGAAAAAAAAAGAAGAGCATAAAAAAGGGGGAGAACAAAAACTACCCCAAAACTTCTAAAAAAAAAAAAAAATTCTCTTCTTTAGAGGTCAACTCGTGGATGCCTCCTGTTTGGGGGTTTTCTATGTGTCCTTCGGGAGAGTTACAATTTCCTAGCAGACTTCCTTCTTACGCCTGTACCTGCAGCTAGCCGACTTCCTTCTTGCGCCTGTACCTGCACAAATAACGGAGACTCCGGATGGGGGGTGGGAGTTCCGCCTCCGAAGATTAAGTTAGTATCTTTTCGAAGTGGAATAAGAACAGTAAAAGCTTCTCGGTTCGAGAGCGTTTCAGTAGGTTTGGGCTTTTTTTGGTTTTTTTGTGGTTGCAATTAATGTATATCTCTCTGTGTCATAAATGAGGTCTACCCTTACTATTTATAGTAAGGGAGAACTGTACCTCAATTAGGGTATAAGGGACACGTGTCTGCAAAGGAAATGGGCCTTTGCACTGAAAGATTGACACGTGTCAAGCCTTTATTGGGCCACGTGTCTTAAGGTATTTTCACCCTAAACACCTCCCACACCTTGTTTGCATTGTTGTTTCTTATGAAATTCCCGAGTTAGAGTGTAGTTAAGGGGCCTTGGGTGTGCATTTTGGGAGGTGGACTAGCATTTTGAGATTTTATAACCGAAAGAGGGCTTGTTACAACTTTGGAATATCTAGGTGTGCTCTAATGAAATAGTAAAAGGCCAAAGGAAGTATCCTAGTGCAACCTTGTTTAGTTCTCCTCTCTACCCCCAACTCATGTGTACATTTGTATGATTGGTAATTCTTGAAAGTTGTTCACTTGTCTTGCTTTTGAATCACATCCCGATGAGTTGACTTGGGCTATAAAAAAAAAAAATCGTGTGTTGTGTTTGTGGGAGTTGTGGGTGATTCTCTTTGGAAACCCTCACGAGAGATGGACTCGTCCTACTAGGCGACTTGTAGGTTTAAACGGCTTCTCACTTTTGCTAAAAGTGATCGTTCGGTTTATTGTGTATTCCTACCCTTTCTTGGTTTAACTTTTGCTTCAACCTTCTATAACAAGTTAGTTCCCTCTATTTGTTTTGTCATGACTAGTTTGCTCGAGGACGAGCAAAAGCTTAGCTTGGGGGGATTTGATAACTTGCTATTTTATGCGGTTTTAGGGCGTATTTGAACCTAGTTTACCTGAACAAATTTGTGTTTTGGTTCACTTTTACCCTATTATTATGCAATTTTTGTGTATCCTATGCTTCACGGGTTGTTAGTGTTTTTGTTGAGATTTTAGGTCCAAAGACGACCAAATGAAGCCCACGGTTACCAAACCGAGGTTAGAAGCAAGGAAATGATGGAAAGAATCCAAGTACAAGAGCATCGTAGAAGAAAACACGAAGAAAAGGGCCCAGAAGACCCTGCACGGCCGTGCAAGATGTTGCACGTCCGTGCAGGAGTGCAGACTTGAAGCCATCTTTCTGCCAAGGCCTGCACGGACGTGCCAAATATTGCACGTCCGTGGAGATGATGCAGCACGGACGTGCTTCCGTGATTATGAGGCAGCATGGCCGTGCAAGATGTTGCACGTCCGTGCAGGAGTGCAGACCTGAAGCCATCTTTCTGCCAAGGCCTGCACGGATGTGCCAAATATTGCACGTCCGTGCAGATGATGCAGCACGGACGTGCCAAAGGTGCACGCCCGTGCTGCAGCAGGTCGTCTTAAACTGAGTTTCTGCCTTGGTCTGCACGGACGTGCCAACTTCAGCACGTCCGTGCAGACCTACAGTTTACCCGTTTCTTGTTTTCACCGTCCTCTTATTTTAGGGGGTAATATAAATAGCCCCTTTGGACCATTTTAGAGGGGTTCCCAATTTTTCCAGATTTTCATACTCCTCTTAGTTTGAAACACAAAAATCCTCAAATTAGCATAGATTTTAGTTCTTGTTTTGAAGGTTTTTCAATCCAATCATTGTAGAAGACAAGTTCCACCATTGTTAGTCAATTATTGAAGCTTCTAGTAATTTTTTCTTACTCTTTCTTTCTCTCTTCTATCTTTAATTCTTGCTTTTTATTAATTGTTTGGTTGTTCTTTGCATGTTTAATTGTTAAATTCTACTTAATTCTTAGTTTTAATTTGTTCATGAATTCCTTGAAATCTTTAATTGCTTTAACCTCCATGGATTGTGAGTAGTCTAATTTCTAGGGTTTGGGTGAACCCTCAATGTAATCACCAACACTTGTTGCATGAACTAATTTGTTAATTGTGGGGTGTTAATTAGTTGAGTTTAAGAGGTTTCATTGTTAATTCTTGTAATTGGCCATTGCTTGAATTATTTATCTAGCTTCCTCAACGAAGGATCGAGAGATGAACTTGAGGAAGCTCCCTTATGCTTGATTGACTTGATTTGCCATGAGAATAGGAATTTCTAGTCAAGGGAATTTGCATGTTATCGTGAGGATGTTTTAACACTTGTTTCTTGCCCATAATCACGAGAGTAGGTTATGGTTTTGATGTCAAGTAATCCCTCTAGCTTGAGAGAGTAGTTGGGTGCATTTGATAACTTCCCCTAATTTATCCCCTAAATCACCATTTCTATGCATGCTACTTGTGGTCCGTGATGAAGTTTAGTGGTGTAACCCATGCCCTAGGCCTTCTTAATATTGTTAATCACCTCTTAGAATTAGTTGATTTGAATTAGAATAGTGTGACGTAATACCAACTTAAAACCCCCGACTTAATCTAGCTTGTTTAAACAATAACATTTGGTGGTTGATTCAACGCCTCTCATGGGTTCGACCCTTTCTTGCCCTTGCTACTAGTTGAGTAGGATCGAGTTAGGTCTTATTTCTTGATAGGTTGACGACGTCCTATCAGATTTGTACAATTTTGTTGGTTTAATTGTTAAAAAGAAGTGCAGATCTAAAGGTTAGTTACATTACAAACCCTAATATAATGTATGTGTGTATCTTACTTTGGTTGTTAGATAGTGTGTTGGATTATAATTAGAATGTATTCAATAACTTTTAGTTTGGTTAATTTATTGACATTGGTCATCTCTTATAAGTTATTAATTGCTCCCTTCTCTTTAAAAAAACAATATAATGTTAGTTTGGTTTAGTTTAGTTTAACATAATGTAGTTTAGTTAAGTTTATGTTAATATAATGTGTTTTAATTTAATTTATTTTAATATAAAGTATCTTATTGTAGTTTAGTTTTTTTTGAAATATGTTAGTTTAATTTAATATATATAACGGTAGTTTGGTTTGGTTTAGTTTAATATGATATATTAGTTTACTTTGGTTTGGTTTGATTTGGTTTATATTAATAGTATGGTGTTATGATATGTTTCTCTTGTTTAGTTTAATCTTGATATATTTGTTTAATATTATGTATGTTAGTTAAGTATATATATTTTTTAAATAAATCTTATAATTAATTAATTGCTCCCTTCTCTTTAAAAAAAACAATGTTAGTTTGGTTTAGTTTAGTTTAACATAATGTAGTTTAGTTAATTTTATGTTAATATAATGTGTTTTAGTTTAATTTATTTTAATATAGAGTATCTTAATTTAGTTTAGTTTTTTTAGAAATATGTTAGTTTAATTTAATATATAAAACGGTAGTTTGGTTTGGTTTAGTTTAATATGATATATTAGTTTACTTTGGTTTGGTTTGATTTGTTTCTCTTGTTTAGTTTAATCTTGATATATTTGTTTAATATTATGTATGTTAGTTAAGTATATATATTTTTTAAAAAATTATTTACATAATAATATACCTAGATACCCGTTCAAGGCATACACATTAGGAGTATGTCTTGAATAGTCCCCGGTTGGGACTGTCCTTGTACGTTTATTCTCACTTAGGTGGTGAATGTATTCCTTTGTTTTAATTCTAAGGAAGATCCTTGCTTGTCATTTCTCTACAATGTTCTCTAGGTACATATATAGGTGTTTCTAATCGCCTATGTTGTGTACTTGGGGAACTGTAGGGAGATGCTGCCGGATTTTCCATAGAATTGAAATTCTGGCATACATTCACTAGTGAGATTGAACGTACAAGGATGGGTTAGGTTGGAGTGATAAGGACCCTTGGAAATCATTTCTCTTCTCATTTGCATTTCCATAACAGTTTGATCTATAATGAATATATATTGTGCTTTATGACTAATGTGATTAATGGCATATGTGTTAGTTGTGTAGAACTTGTAATCATGAAACGAAAAGAACGTAGCTGGATGTACGAAAGGAAGGTTGGGAATTCTATTAATCCTGAGTTCTTGAAGGGGGTAGATGAATTCCTTAAATATGTGGAAGATCATCCCGAGAGTAGCAGCTCGAATGAAGTTAGGTGTCCATGTTTTAAATGCAAAAACAAACGTCTTTGGGATCCAGATACGGTCAAACTTCATTTGTATCGCAGCGGTTTTTTTACCTAATTACTATGAGTGGATGTGTCATGGGGAAGGGTTTCCAGGAACTCGTAGAAGGCAGTCAAATGAATATCGTAAAATGGTTTTGGATGCCTTTGGTCAGTCTCAAGATCAAGGCCATTCCGAAGAGCCACCTGTTTCATTAGAGGAGGAGCCTAATGCACAAGCCAAGCCATTTTTTGATTTGTTAAGAGCTTCTGAACAATCGTTATACGAAGGGAGTTCATTGTCTGTGTTAGAGATGGCTTCTAGAATCACTAACCTAAAGTGTGAGTATAATTTGCCGCACAGATGTGTTGATGGATTTGCTTCTTTGGTTAATGAAGCAATTCCTAATAACAACCACATGGCCGAGACATTCTATGAGGTCAAGAAAATTGTTAAGGGGTTAGAGCTGCCCCATGAAAAGATTCATGCATGCCCGAAAGGATGTATGTTGTTTTGGAAAGATGATGCTCAATTATCTACATGTAGGGTGTGTGGCAGCGACCGATACAAGAAGACTTCTAAAGGTAGCTTAGTGCCTTTGAATGTTCTATTTTATTTCCCTATCACACCTAGGTTGCAAAGGCTTTTTGCAACTAAAAACATTTCTGAGGAAATGACATGGCATGCTAAAAATCCTCGAGTTCAAGGCACAATGGCACACCCTAGAGATAGTGAAGCGTGGAAACACCTAGATAGTTGCTTTCCTGAGTTTGCCTTTGAACCTCGTAATGTTCGACTTGGCCTATGTACGGATGGATTTGCTCCACATGGTCAGTTTGGGGGACAGTATTCATGTTGGCCTGTCATTTTGACCCCTTATAACTTGCCTCCGTCAATGTGTATGAAAAGACAGTTCATGTTTCTTTCGTTACTCGTTCCTGGTCCTAAAAACCCTAAGGGCAACTTGGATGTTTACATGCAACCGCTCATACACGAGTTGAAACAGTTGTGGGAAGTTAGGGCAAATACTTACGATATTTCGAGATTACAAAATTTCAATCTTCGAGCAGCCATCCTATGGACCGTTAGTGACTTCCCGGCTTATGGTATGTTATCTGGTTAGACCACAGCCAGTAAGAAGGCTTGTCCATATTGCATGGAGAAAAGCAAAGCATTTTGGCTCGAAAATGGTGGTAAGGTTTCTTGGTTTGATTGCCATCGTCAATTCCTTCCGACAAATCATCCTTTTCGACATAGTAAAAATGCATTTTGTAAAAACAAAGTCGAAAAAGGTTCACCACCTCACATCATGTCAAGAGAGGAACTTTGGGAATGTGTGA